AGGTTTAGAAGGTGATATAGGGCTTTATAGTTTATGTTTTCACTGTAAAAGGAGTGCATGCCCATTGTAGAGAAATTAGGAAATACAGAAGTTCAAAAAGGAAAGAATTGGCCCGGCCAGGTAGCTCAGATAGTCAGAGTGTTGTCCCCATACACCAAATTTGCAGATTTGATCTCTGGTCAGGGCACATAAAAGAATCCAGCAATAAATGCATAAATAAGTGGAACAACAAATCAAGGTTTCTCTCTCTCTCCCTCCCTCCCTCCCTTCTACTCTCTCTATAAAATCAATAAAAATAAATCAACAAAAAGGAAAGAATCAAAATTACTTACAATCTCAGAAATTTGAGATGTGCACTGTTAACATTTCCAATGCATTTGTGCATAGGTGTTATATTGTATGTGGTATTAATGTTTTATTATGGAAATGCCCAAACATATCATAGTGAAAACAGTGCAATGAAACCTGTACCCTCAACCATTAGTCATGTGCCACCCTTGTCAACATTTTGTCATCTTATTGCATCAATTCCCCTTCTCACACAAAATACTTTTTTGGGAGGGATGGGAGCAAAGGAACTGTCACAAGTGTGCACAGGTAACCAGGTTCTTAGTGATCGAGGACAAAGAATTGAACCGAACACACAAAGTTTATAGCATAAAGAAAGAGAGAAGATTTATTAAGTGATAGTATACTCCACAGGACATGGGAGTGGGCCAACTCTGAGCAGAAAAGGGACACGTGGGCTGGGGGATTCTATTCTTATAGGGCAGAAGCCTTCTTGCTAGTCTTTGGTGGGCTTTTCCTGCGCAGGTACAAGGAGTTGGATTTCAAAGCTATTGCGCATGTGTGGCTTCCCATGATTTTCTTGATTGGCTACTGGAGAAGGGAGTCCCACAATGTTATTTCATTATAATGATATTATAATGAATCAGGGGTAGCTCGCAGGCGCATCCCATGATTCGGAGTTATCCCAGAAAACAGGAACAACCCGCCTTAGGGGGTCTTTGTCATATATAGATGTTTTCTACCTCATCTGGGGCCTCTGGGGCTTCCTTCCTATCTCCTGCCTCAGAACTGTAATATATATATGTTTTATCCTCACCTGAGGATATTTTTCATTGCTTTTTAGGCAGAGGAAAGGAGAGAGAAACATCAATGCTAGAGAGAAGTATTGATCAGTTGCCTCCCATATGTGCCCAGACCAGGGACTGTATACACTGAACCCACAACCTAGGCATCTTCCCTGAGGAGGACTCAAACCTGCCACCTTTCAGTTACAGGATGATGCTCCAACCAACTGAGCAACCCTACCAGGTCAGGAGCTGTAATATTTTAAACCAAAATCAAATCCCAGTCATTGAGTCAGTAGAATTTAAAAGGTGTTGACACAAATGTTTATATAGAGAAAGCAAATGTTAATTCCAGGTTTTTCATTCCTGGCAACTAGAAGAATGGTGCTTACATGAGAAAGGTAAGGGACACAGAAATCTTGATGTGGAGAGGAATAATGATGATTTAGTTTCTTTACTTGGAGTTTGACTTGGCACAGTTGTCTAGATTTTGGTTTCTGATCTGCTTCTTCCTCAGGTTTCCCATTCTTTACAGCGTGCTTAGCATGGAGTGGGAGATGGAGAAAGAAGTTTCTTTAGACATTGAGGCTAGTGTTGCTGTCTAATAGCTTGAAACAGGGAATGCAGCTTTGTTAGACTGTATTCAGAATTCCTAAAATTCATAAAAGGGAACAGTACAGATGTTGGCAATCCTTTATCATACTTCTAGTGGTTTGCAGAATGTATCATTATTTTGATGCTCGAAAGCACAGGTGGCAAACACAAGGCCTGCAGGCTGAATCCAGCCCTCCACCTTGTTTTATCCAGCCCAACACCTTGTTTCTACCCGGCGGCAGTGCCGAGCTCCTTGTCCCTAGTTAAGGGGTAGTTGCATTTATACAGTCCTAAAATTACATTTGGCCCTTGGAAGACAATCACGAGGCTGGTGTGGCTCCCGATGAAAATGAGTATGACACCCTGCCCTAAAGCAAACTTATTTAGAAACAAACTATCCCTAACTTATGTGTCCTGTGTTTATCATCTGAGGATAATATTTGGTAACTTTTTATAGGGTCTTCATGTGTCAAGTAGAGTTTCCAGTGCTTTAGTGTGTATTCGTTCATTTGTTCCTCATGTTGACCCTTTTATTTAGCTTCATTTCACAAATGAAGTGAAAAGGGACAGAGCTCAAAGAATAAGTGGTAGAATTTAGTGCTTTAATCTCAGCAGCCTGGTTCCATGTGTGCAATCTTGATTATTACATGTTGGGAACTGCCTTGCCTGGTTTCAGAAGCTGTAACCCCCCATGACTAAGGCTGGGTGAGCTACCTTTAGACCATAAAGACAAAGCTTATCTCCCTGGCAGGAGTGCCACTTCTGCTCCTTATACTTCATCCATAACTGGTCCCCAAAGCTTCGTCGTTAGCCAATGAAGGGGAAGATTCCCCAAAGGGGAACAACTTAAGACAGGCATGATCATGGGGAGGCCCCAGGGAAGAACTTGGGGTACTACAGCAAAAGGGGGTGATGGACCCTTGCCCCTCGGCTTTGGCACAGCCTGAGTCCTCATTCTGTCTGCAAGAAGTCTCATAATCTCTTGGCTGCCTTACTTCCCCTGCTTGACTTAAGCCTGAAACAATGACAGAGGGTGGTGCAGCCCTGTGCTCGAAAGGGTGGGTTCCCCAGGCAATCAGGCCTAAGAAAGAATATGTAAAATCCTGTGAAACCTGCTTTGTTTAGAATGCTCTCAATTAAATGATAAGGGTCCAAGCAAGAAGTAAGTTTGTTCCTCCAAGTTTTACAGCTGTTTAGCTATCTGACCCTGACTCAAAATAGGCCCTCACAGTTCTTTGTTATCTATTGTTTGATCCTTACTTCCTGACAATGATTAATGAGCTTTATCTGTATTCCTATGCAAATGAACCCAATGAAAGCCCATTGAGGAAGAGGCTCCTGGCCCTTTGAGAGATCAGCCACCTTTCCTCCCCAAGCAGATCATGTCTTGGTAGACTTATTCTAATCACGTGGCAGCTGAGGGGGCCCTGCAGATGGAGTCCCCCCACAATTACACATTGTTTTTATTAGTCTGCGAGGCAAAAACTCACAAGAAGTTTTCCCAGAGCAGGTAATATTTAAGCTATGGCTGAAGACTATGACCTAGAAGTGAATACAGCAGCAGGAGGTGACAGAAGGAACAGCAGAGGCAAGGAGGCTTTTTGTAAGAGCACAAGTGACTCACTATGCCTAGACATGTAGACTGGAAAGTAGATTTAAAGAGAGAATCAGCATATGGAAGATTCCTGTTTGTGTGACTTACTAAAGCATTCATACCTTTCTTTAAGGGACTGGATAGACATGTAGGTGAAAATAATTGAGTTACCATGTTAGGATATATTTTTCTGGCATCAAGAAGGAAAAATGATTGAAATTACACATTATGTTGATTAAACAAGATGTAGTGAGTAGCACTTAGGCTCTGGTCCTCGAATGCCAGGTTTTGAACCCTGACTCTACCACTATCTAGTTTTGTAACACCAGCAAATTACTTCACCTCTCTCTGCCTCTGGCTCCTGACTGTGAAACAGAGAAAACAATAGTACTTAACTAAAAAAAATGTTTTTAAGATGAAGTGTCTAAAGAACTTGGAACAGTGTCTGCACACACTATGTGCTCCATAGAAGGTAGTTGTGTATAACAAAATAAGGAATGTATGTTCAATAAATGAGAAATGCAAATAGATATTGTGGTGGATATAGTACTCTATATAGTGACCATGCTTAAAGATCTAGTTAACAATGATGTGTTCATCTTTCAAATTTGTAAATTCCCGGAGGAGTCATTTCAGTGGTCCCTATTGCTTTGAAAAGGTGATCATACAAGTCTATGATGAAGTTTGCCTTTTCACTTAAGGTGTGTCTAGTTGTCTTCAACAGGCAAATAGTGCTGAATTATTTGACTGTGCTATTGAGAAAAGTAGGAATGTATAATGTATTCTGCCTCCATTGCAATTTTTTGTCTTTCATTCTTTTTATATCTAAAAAGTGTTTAAAACTGCAAAATAGAGACTGTCATTTTTTCCTTCTTCTGGTAGTGGTGAGTATAAATCTACCAGTAAAAGGATCATATGATCTGTTTCATAAAAGACAGACTCCTTAAATATTTACTATTGTTTTTTCTTTCTTTCTGTTTTAAAAACATTTTATTTATTTAATTTTAGAGAGAGGTGAAGGGAGGGAGAAAGAGAGGGAAATATCAATGTGTGGTTGCCTCTCCTCCAGTAGGGGTACTGGGGACCTGGCACGCAATCCAGGTATGTGCTCTGACTGGGAATAGAACCCGGACGTCCTTTGGTTAGCAGGCCGGTGCTTGATCTACCCAGCCAAACCAGCCAGGTTTTTTTCTTTCTTTTTGTTGAGGGAGAGAGAAACATCTATCTGTTGTTCCACTTATTAATGCACTCGTTGCTTGATTTTTGCATGTGCCCTGAGCAGGGATGATACCCACAACTTTGGCGTATTAGGACAAAGGTCTAATCAACTAAACATAAAAGCCAGGGCTGCTACCACTTTTTGTCAGTGAGAAAAAACTAAGGTCTCCTGGCATCAGAGAATTGCTTGAGGCCAGCAAAATGGCGGGTAACCATTAAAGGGATTTCTGGAAGTTGTACGCTTATAGTCTGGGAACTCCGAAAGTCTGGTGATTTATTTTTTATTTTTTATTTTTAATAGTTCTAACAGCTTGAACTTGGGTTTTCCTCTTCTTGGGGTTCTGGGAAATGTATTCCCCAACTCTGGAGACGAAGGACTTCTGGGAAGTGTAGTTCCGCAGCGCCGTGTAAATTGAGGCATTCCGCCCTGCCAAGAGGGGGTCACCACCATGCTTTCCGTCCGAGAGGTGAGTCAGCCCTGCACCCCAAAGACCTCTCTGAGCCTTGTCGGCCTGACCGTGGGGACTTGTTGCTGCCTAGCTCGCTGTCTTGTGATGGAGGAGTCGCGGCAGTCGGCAGAGGCTGCGAGGAGGAGGGCGAAAGCCCTGCTTCCCCGCTTACCAAGCGTGTTGCTCCTTCTTCCATCGGTAAAATGTATGGCGAGTTGTTTCTTATCTCTGCTCTCTACTTTCCTCCTCCTTAAAAATAGCGGGAGAGACCGCAGCTACTGCTGAGGGTTGCGATCAGAATTAAAAGAGACAATACATGTCCAAAGCTTAGGACGGTGGTGGCACTTGGTAACAGCTACAGTTCATTCCCTCCCCAGTGCAGGGAGAGAGGTTGTCGCGGCTGCTGGCACCCGGCCGTAGCCCCTCAGTCATCCTCCCGGAGACCGAGTTCTTCCCGAACTTGACTGAGTTTTCATCTCTTTTTAAGGAAGCTCTGAGTTACCTCGCGCCAATGCCTGGGGGTGTCCTCTGCAGTTTGCTCGGGAGACAGATGTAATCACACTGTCCCACCGCATCCTTTTCCTTATCATCCCAAATTCGGCAAGGGAAGGAAGAAGTGACATGGAAGATGCTCACGGCCTAGCTCCAGGTAAAGACTCAAGTACTTTCCTGGTCTGGCGTCTCTGTTCTCAGGTAAGCAGGTTTCCTTCACTCAGTAAGTTACAACTAGGAAAATGTTCAAATTTTTTTTTAAATAAACCTGAGAATGCTTCATTTGCTTCTTAATATGTATGTGTGTGTTGCTACCACCTACACCTATTTTAAATGCATATTTACTTTTAAATTTGCTATCTTTACAGTTTTTTCTTTTGTCTTCAGTTTATTTCCTTTATTCGATCTCAACTGGTTTTGAAATTATATGGTTTTTGTTATTTTTTAAATTTTTAAAAATGATAATCTTTTCAGCAAACACTGAAAAGTATAGAGATGAAAGTGTATTTAAAATTTGATAATGGCTACCCACCGCAACCTTTTTGTTTTTTGAAGATTTTATTTATTTATTTTTAGAGGCAGGGGGAGGGAGGGAGAAAGAGGGGAAGAGAAACACCAACATGTGGTTGCCTCTCTAGCACCCCCTGGCTGAAACCCAGGCTCTGGCCCTGAGTGGGAATCAAACCAGTGACCTTTCTATTCACAGGCCAGTGCTCAATCCACTGAGCCACACCAGCCAGGGCACACCACCACCTTTTTAAACTTTAGGCTAGATATGAAGGGGGTGTGTGTGTGTGTGTGTGTGTGTGTGTGTGTGTGTGTGTGTGTGTATTGTTATAGCCACCCTTTACATTTTTCTAATGTTTCTTGAAAATTTTCTAAAAAGATACTACCAAACACATTTACAAATTTTTTTTCAGAGTTCATTTAGTCATAAATTTTCTTCATGTATGTTTGGCTAAAATATCCTTGTTAGTCCCTCATCTAAATAATCATTTAGTTGAGCATAGAATTTAAGGCCAATAGTTATTTTCTTCACTTTGGACACATTGTTTAGTTGTCTTATATTCTGTTCTGTTCCCCTGTTTCAGACTAATTGTCATTTCTATTAGGTAAACTATTTTCTTTGTGGGAGCTTTAAGGATTTTTGTTGTTTTTAGGCTTATTTGTTTATTTAGTTTTTTGCATTCCTGAGCTTCACTCTAATTTATTTAGGAGTATATTTACTTTTATTTATACTATTTAGAATTTCTATTTATGGGCTCAACAATTATCTCTTGAAATAAGACCTCTCTGCCATTTTTTCCATTGTCCTCTCACACTCCTAGTAGACAAATGTTAGGGCCTCTCAGTCTGTCTTCCATGTTTCTTGAATTTTCTTTTATATCTTTCTCTTTGCTATATGTTTTTCTTCACCTCCATGCATATAGAATAAAAGGCTTTTTACCAATAAGCCTTTTCTGGCTTCATGAAGTAAATTGACCCAAAATGACACTTTTTAGAAAAAAAAATACCAGCCATCAGTAATATGTGATTAGCTGGGCAAAAAAATTATTAGGTAAGAAAAAACTGTAACTAAGAATTAGGGATCTCAGAGATCAATGGTGACTTTCATAGGAGAGCAATAATAAATGAAGTCCAGACCTTCCAAGGTCTTTTGTTTGTGTTTTGCAAACTGACATTTGCAAAGCAGGCAGTCTCTAATTTATAACGGTTCTACTTAGGGTTTTTCTACTTTATGATGATGCAAAAGCAATACGCGTTCATATCTTTTCCTAGGCTAGCATTGTAGAACCATTATAGAACTGTATAAGAACCAGTTCCTGGTTCTTAGAACTTTCCATTGACTTATTTAGTCCTTAGAACAACTGTGTGAGGTGGGTATGATTTATGAGTCTTATCCTATCATTGTACAGATGATTGGAGTGAGGGGCAGAGAGGTTTTGCTTTTGTTTTGTTTTGATGTGTTAATGCCCCTGCTGTTAAACAGATGGTAAATATCACTTCTGGGATTTAAACCTAGGCCCCCCATTCCAGAGCCCACTTCTGTGTGTGTGTGTGTGTGTGTGTGTGTGTGTTGTTACAGTGCCTCTCATTTCTTACTGTCCCCAGGATCAGAAATTCAGAAATTCAGTATTCCTTATAGTATGAATACTGTGTTTGGTCGTGCAGGTAGGTCATCCCTGGCTGACAAACCCATTAGTAGCTGTAGTCCCTGCCATGCCCTGCTTATTAAGCTGTATGTGGCTGCATCTGCCCGGAAGTAGGAGTGCCCTTGTGTGGTTTCTGCACAGGTCCACAGGGGCTCACGGCAGCTCTAGCCTGTGTCTCATGGCTTCTTCATCCTTCCCCAGTTATGCCTTCTCAGGACTCTGACCTTCCCCAGAAGGAGCAGCAGGAAAAAATGACCAAGTTTCAGGTAAATAAGTCTTTCCTCTTTGTCTCCTAAGATGTGATTTGATTTCTCAAAGATTAGGCACATCTTTTTTTTCTTCCTTGGAAAGGTTAATGGAAAACAGCGAATCTTGAGGGCATGTGGTGTGCCAGACCGTGTGTGTTTTGTTTGTTTTGTTTTATCTTCTTTATTATTTCACAAAATCTTTGAGAAAAATAATAGAAATGTGAAATAGACACAAATAATTTCCACTATTACTATTCTATTTACAAACTAGCTGTCGTCGCTTTCCCATGTCCCTTTGTCACATGCGTGCACAACTATACATTTGCAGTGTTAACATTGAAGGGATATATTTATATATTAGTAAAGGCTTAATAGTGACAATTTTTAAAAAGATCTTATTTACTTATTTTTAGAGAGAGGGGAAGGGAGGTAAAAAGAGGGAGAGAAACATCAACATGTGGTTGCCTCTTGCACGTCCCCCCTGGGGACCTGGCCTGCAACCCAGGCATGTGCCCTGACTAGGAATCAAACTGGTAACCCTCTGGTTTGCAGGCCAGCACTCAGTCCACTGAGCCACACCAGCCAAGGCTAATATCGACAATTTTTATTAAGATTAGTAAGATAAAAAAAAAAACCAATGGAATATGAGTAAAAGAAATGAATAGAAGTGTTACCAAAAAAAGAAAGTAAATTTATGAAGAAAATAATGATCATTAATAACTGCACAAATGTTAATAAAAACTTTATTTCCCTTAGGTTGTTGAAGATTTTTTAAAGAGGCATTATGTCCTGTTTGGCCAGAGTCTAGAGAGTCAGTGATATTTGTACTCTCACATGAAAGATGACTTGGGCAAACCTTTTGAGAGGGAAATCCACCATTCTGCCTTCCAGATTGGCTACTTCTTAGCAAAGATCTCTGTAAAAAGATCTTTGCAGCTTTGATTACAAGTAAAAATACATAATTAATTATGTGTTTGTATTGATTAAAGATAAATCATCAGTTCATAGGAATACTATGAAGTCATAAAATGTAATGAAAGAGGTTATAATGATATGAGCTGTTCATATTTATTGAGCATTTGTTATGTGCCAGGCACCATTTTAACCACTTTACATATATTCACTCATCCAATCCTTTCAAATATCCTGCAATTTAGACACCATTGTTGGGGAGAGGAAGCAGAGATTGTTAGAGGTTAGGGAATTTGCCCAACATTAAAACCTTGCATTTGAACTCAGCCTGTGCCTTCACCAACTGTGAATGCTACAGTAGGTGCATATGGCGTGTGCCTTGAAAACACAGAGGAAAAGCTATAGTCCTGTCCTGGAAGGTTGTGAAGGCCTGTGAACTTTGCAAATGTTAAAGACAGTGATTGAGTGCAAGCTTTGTGGAGAGGCAGGGAGAAGATAATGAGAGAGGGACAACTGGGGCCAGAAGTCCCTCTACGTGTGCTAACAGGTTTTTTTTTTAACATTTTTAAAATTGCCAACACTAGTACTCATGTCCCCCATTTCCTCCCACTTTGCTTGCCTCCACCCAGCCCCTCCTTCCTCCAACCCTGCCTTCACCATACTATTGTCTGTGTCTGTGAGTTATGCATGTATGTTCTTTGGCTGATCTCTTCACCTTTTTTCCCAATCCTCCCCACCCCCAGCATCCTCCCCTATGAGATCTGTCAGTCTGTTCCATGTGCCCATGCCTCTGTTTCTGTTTTGTTCATCAGTATATTTTGTTCATTATATTCCACATATAAGTGAGATCATATAATATTTGTCTTTCTCTGATTAGCTTATTTCACTTAGCATAATACTCTCCAGGTCCATCCATGCCGTTGCAAAAAGGAAGGAGTTCCTTTCTTATAGCTGTGTAGTATTCCATTGAGTAAATGTACCACAGTTTTTTTTATCCACTCATCCACTGATGGGCAGCTGGGCTGTTTCCAGATCTTGGCTATTGTAAATAATGCTGCTATGAACATAGGGGTACATATTTATCAGGATTCTTAGGATATATTCCCAGAAGTGTGATCACTGGGTCAAAAGGCAGTTTCTTTTTTAATTTTTTGAGGAAACGCCATACTGTTCTCCACAGTGGCTGCCCTGGTCTGCATTCCCACCAACAGTGCATGAGGGTTCCCTTTTCTCCACATCTTCATCAGCACTTGTTGTTTGTTGATTTATTGATGGTATCCAATCTGGCAAATGTGGCAAATGTGACAAATGGAACTACATCAAACTAAAAAGCTTCTGCACAGCAAAAGGGAATCCACTGTATGGGAAAACATATTTGCCAATGCTACATCTGATAAGGGGTTAATCTCCAAAACATGTAAAGAAATTATATAACTTGCCCTGGCTGGTGTGGCTCAGTGGATTGAGTGCTGGCCTGTGATCCAAAAGGTTGCTGGTTCAATTCCCAGTGAGGGCACATGCCTGGGTTGCAGGCCAGGTCCCCAGTAGGGGTTGCAAGAGTCAACCAACGGATGTTTCTCTCCTGCTCTTTCTCTCTTTCTTCCCCTTCTCTAAAATAAATAAATGAATAAAATCTTTAAAAAAAATAAAAATTTGTACACCAGGAAGACAAACAATGTAATTAATAAATGGGCCAATGGATTGAATAGACACTTTCCCAAAGAGGATGCACGGATGGCCAGTAGACATAAGAAAAAATGTGCAACATCAGTAATCATCAGAGAAATGCAAAATTAAAGCTACAGTGACATATCACCTCACACCTGCCAGGATGTGACAATTTTTTTAGTAATCTTGTTTTAACTTCTTAATGGTAACCCTTCTTCCAGTGGACCTTTGTTGCAAGATTGAGGTTGCCTCTGTTTGGTGTTGTAGGCAGCGGTGACATTCATGGACGTGGCTGTGATCTTCACCGAGGAGGAGCTGGGGCTGCTGGACCTGTCCCAGAGGAAGCTGTACCAAGACGTGATGCTGGAGAACTTCTGGAACCTGATCTCACTGGGTGAGGACTGGTGCCCTCCGATACTGAACCTTAGCCCCTTTGAGAATCTCTGGTCCTCAGTTGTTCGCAGTGTTGTACCTTTTGAAATAGTTCCCTGACCTTGAAGACAGTGTTTATAACCCCTGGGACTATAGGCAAAGGTTTTTCCAGTCTTTCTTTCAGAGAAAATTCTGTCCAGGAGTGACTTTGCCACCATGCCCCACCCCCCGCCAGGACATTTGTCAATGTGGGCAGACAATTTGATTGTCACAACTGGGGGAGGGGTGCTACTAGCCAGTAGGGCTGGTGATGCTGCTAAACCTCCTCCAGTGCACAGGACAAGCCCCACCATGGCCCAAAATGTCAGCAATGCTTGCTTGAGGAGGCCTATTTTAAGTGAATTAGAAATGGGCAGCTTAACTTTTATACATTGTCTTTCAAATTATGTTTGTGCCCCATTGATGGGTCATGGAATCAACCTAGGACATTGTACGGGGTGGGCAAAGGTAGGCTTACAAGTTTCGGGTGACATTTCTTTTGAGTGAATAACGCTACTGTAATAATCGTAGCCTGCATGTCTTTCCATATGAACAGCTGCGAGCCTGCTTTTGCCCCCCGCCCCCATACTGGCATTACCTTTTCCCCATGAAATAGATTCTATCCATATTCTATTTTATTCTGTCAGCATTCCTTATTGAGACCTTCCTGCTCACATTGCAGCCCAAACTGTGACCATTTGTAGTGAGTGGTGTGAGAGCGTGGGAAACTCGGTGAAAACAGGCATTGGTCAAACCTCATTTTACCTAAGTGTAGACATGAACTAGGTCATGATCTAAATTTATTTCTTTTTCAGCTCATGATCTAAAGCAGGGATGTCAAACTCATTTTCACCATGGGCCACATCAGCGGTTGCCTTCAAAGGACCACATGTAATTTTAGGACTAATTTTACATTTAGTATAAATGTAACTACTTCTTAACTGGGGCAAGGAGCTCAGCACTGCCACCAGGTAGAAACAAGGTGCCGGGCTGGATAAAACAAGGTGGACGGCCGGATTCAGCCTGTGGTCCCTGCGTTTGCCACCTGTGATCTAAAAGTTCTTAAAATTCCACTTTGCAGGTTTCAAGGACTATGGAATTTGAATAAATATGTTTCAGCTTTGTGCACATCATTCATATATATATGAATGTTCACCACAAGGCTGATGTGGCCCGTGGTGAAAATGAGTCTGACACCTCTGCTTTAGATCATATATATAAATGTAAAATATATATATATATGAATGATATCTATATCTATAGATAGATAGATAGATAGATAGATAGATAGATAGATATCTGCCTTTTCATAGGACATCTTTTCCTTCAAACCAGGTATGGCAACCCAGTTGGAGGCAGAAGAAAACCTCTGGATGATGGAAAGGGAAACCCAAAGAAATGGGGCTTCCGGTGAGAACCATGTGGCTGTTTTTTCCGGTTCCAGAGAATGCTGTTCAACACGTCCGTGATTATTACCACTCTTACCCCTGGGTTGTCATCTCCTGCGTGGGCTGTGACAGCCTCCACACAGGCCTCGATGCTTTGCTCTCTTGCACCCCCATAATCTAGTCCCTATAGACTGATTCTGTGGAAAGCAAGTGAAAATGTGCCACTCCTTGGCTCAGAGCCCTGCAAAGACTTCCCATTTCACTCTGAGTCCTTACAGGATGGCCAGACCCTGCCTGATCTGGCCTCTTCACCAACTCCCTATTTAATTGCCTCTCCTTTCCTGCTGGCTCAACCGTTCCTGCCATCCTGGCCCCCTTCAAATGTCCTCTTCTGTTTCAGGGGCTTTGCCTAGCTTGCTTTTTTTTTTTTTTAATAATCATGAGTCTTTTTCTTTTTTTAAGATTTTAAAATTTGTCTATTTTTAGAGAGAGGGAAAGGGAGGGTGAAAGAGGGAGAGAAGTATCAGTGTGTGGTTGCCTCTCGCACACTCCCCACCGGTGACCTGGCCCACAACCCAGGCCCGTGCCCTGAATGGGAATCGAACCAGCTTTGGTTTGCAGGCTGGTGCTCAATCCACTGAGCCACACCAGCCAAGGCAAGGACTTAGCCTGGCTTTCCTCTGCCTCAGTATAAAGTCCCCCAGCCACTTCTTTACTCGGGTCTTTGCTCAAATTTCATCTCATCATATAGGCTGTCTGTGTCTGCCCTGTTTAAAATACCATCTCTCCATTCTCCATCTCCTTACCCTGCCCTATTTTCTGTCTAAGCACTGATTCTCTGCTGACCTAGGAGCGTATTTTCATTTACTTGTTCATCATCTATCTTCTCATGAAAGTAGGAATGGGTGGAGTTTTACTTATTGTGTCTACCTCAAAGCCTCCAGTGGGCCTTCTGCATAGTAGGTGTTCAGTACATAATTGTTGAATGAATACATTTTTAAAAATAATTTCTGTTCTTTTCGGTAGAAGTGAGGACATCCTCCTCACAGCTTCAACTTCCTGTCTGTGAGGAAGGCCTCATCCATGTCCCCAGCCAGCCTGTCACTTTTCCACCTGCCCTCTCACTTCTTCACTTTTCACTTCATTTTTTGACTTCCTTTCTCTTCCCTTTGTTCCTTTCTCTTTAATTTGCATATTTGTCAATTCTGCCCATTTAAAAATTACAAATTCCTAGGGAATGTATCCTTTGGCTGAAAAACAAAACAGAGAGGCTTGTCTGCAAACATGGTAACCCAGGCCCTGAATGCTGCGAGCGGTTGACAGCCACCACGGGTCTTCTTTTGTCTGCTTCCCCTTTTCTGTCTACATGTCGCCTCGAGTTTCCTGCACTCAGTAGTGACAGGTGCTGCACTTGACCGGGTCTCATTTTCACGTAGGAACTGAATCGTAGGAATGAGGACCCTAAGTACGACGATCTCTCTTCAGTTTTGCATAATAGACCAAGTTTCTCTTTTAACAAATCTGGTAGCATTTTTGGTCACTTTTTCTCAAAGGGTTTTTTGAACTCTTCAATTTGACATCAGCATGTTTTGGGATTTTGCAGCCATGCTCCATGTACAAATATTGTTCTAGCCCAAAATATCCCACAGGTTCAGAGCACACTAGTGTGATGAATGGATTATTTTGGAACTGTTTTTCCAGTGAATTTAACATAATTCTAATTTCTTAGACATCTTTAAAGACATAAAGATTAATAGTTGTTAACCTTAGAACAGTGATTTTCAACTGGTGTGATGCAAGAATTTTTAAAACGTAATACCTGACTGTTTACTCAGGGGCACTGACCTCTTTTCCCTTAGGTTGTCAAAGGAAAAAATGACAACATCCAACACAACAATGGCTGTCTGGTGTGAATGAATCAAAAGTACACCTATGTTTTTTGTCAGATTGGCAAAAAGATAACATTTGTTTTGGCGTGCTGAAGAATTTTAAAGTAATTATGTGTATCATGAGATTTGTTGAAAATCGCCACCTTAGAAGACAAAAGCTGTTCACAGTTGTCAGAATGTATGCCTAAATTTTCAAAATTATCAATGCTGACAGGCAGGCCTTATAATTCATCCTTTCTTATGTAACAATTTCAGTCGGCCACTTTCGAGGGCAAACAGCCTCTTCCATACAGCCAACTGCCCATCTAGCCACCCTGCCCTCTCTCTTCTACTTGAACAATCATAAAACCTGTATGTGGCAGTTTATAGTTTCAAAGTGGGTTTTTTTTTTTCAGAAGTCAAAAGGTGTTCGCATACCTGTGGAGAATCCTGATTAGGAAAGAAAATTATTAGATTTCAAATAAATTTACCAGTGCAGCTCGGAGCCTAGTGGTATTAAGTAGCTGATATCACAGGCAATGGGAGAAGCCTTTTACCTGGAGTGAGCTCTGAAAGCAAACATAGAAGTTAGCCCTGACACCACGGGCCAAGGGCACAGCCCTCCACGAGACTTCAGACACCAGCTGGGGCTTCCAGGGGCACCCTCACTTGTGAGCAACTGCCTACAAATTCTGTGACAATTCGCTAGAACAACAGAACTCAGAAAAGTGCTATACTTACAAATTTTGTTACAGCAAAAAGGATATACATTGGAACCCACAAAGGGACAGATGCGTAGGGTGTGGTCTGGGAGAGATCCTCCTGCCTGCCTCTTATGAGGATGCTTGTGATTACTTTTTGGCCTATCCAGTAAATTCAAGATAACCTCCCTATTGCAAGAGCCTTAATTTAAAGCAAGAGCTTGTTGCCAAGAATATTAACACACTCCCAGGTTCTAGGGATTAGGATGTGGACATCTTTAGAGATGGTCCAATTAGGAAGGGCCATTCAGTCAGCCTACCATACCCAGAGCTGTGTATATACCTGTTGAGATTTTCAGCTTGTGTTATTAAACTCTAATTTTCCATTTAAGTAAATTAATTTTTAAGGACTTACTACTTCTCTTGCCCACCCACCAAAACACTTGAAGCCAATGGCTTCCATGTAATTTCAGTCAAACCTTCAATAAGAAATATTCTGTATCTTTACTTAGCATAATGTTTGTACATATTTACATGTATGTCTACAACCAAAACAAGCATTTCAGGTAGTCATACCCTCTCTGCTTGTGATACACTTCTCAAGTTTTATTTCTTTTTTTTTTTAAATTTTTGTCACAATCAAGTGGGATCGGTTTCAGAGTTCACTAATTTGTCCCAGCAATTTGCGAAATTCTGTTGCAGTGGGAATAAAGCAGTGAAGGAAACTGCATATTTTCCTGGTGCCTTTTGAGTGGGTCTAAGAAGGCAAGAAAAACTTAGGAAGTATGTAATAAATCAGATGTAATAAGTAAGTGCTGTGGGGCAAAATAAAGCAGGAAAGGCAAATGGGAACAATCAAAAGTATCTGGGGTGGGGAGGAATTCCTTTATACTGGGTGATGAGGAAGCCTCACCCAATTGAGTGACATGTGAGTAGAGACCTGAAGGGAATGAGGAAAGCAAGGTTCATGGCGTTCAGGGAGAGAGCTGTTCAAGTGGAATAGAACTCTCCGTACTTCTTCAGGGTAGCCTCTGAGAGACTGCACTGTGCTCCGTTCCTTCTCCTGAATTCTCCCTCAGTTGTGAAAGATGAGTTTTCCCTCTTTTGCTTCTTTTTACAGAACCCTGATTTACTTGTCCAGGTTAAGAACAATCAATATTATTCCAACCATTTTCCAAATTTACTCTTGGGAGATCATTCCTTCCAGGACCTAAAATCCCATTTTATGCTTACAATCTGAGCTTTCATAACCTAGTGAGGTAGAATCTCACTGGTCACAAGAATAGTGTGGACAAGGTGGAATGGCGATTGTCCTTGTTGCCCTGCAGCCCCCTCATTGCAGACTTCAGCTTTTGTGTTAAATATTAGACTCATGGTTCTGAATGGATCACCTTTACTCCTAGTGTAAGGGCCTGATCATTCTATTCTTTGCTTCTACTTGCATGAAAATACAAGAACAGGATGAATGATGTTGTATAGATATGACCCTTCCCTTGGTTTACTAAGGCCTTATTGTAAGTGTGAAATCCTGACATTTCTGAACAAAGCATCTTGCTTGTCTGCTTTTTCTTACAGGCAGCAAGAATCAAAATGAGGTGGAGCCTCTTCGAAAAGTTGCATTAAAGTACCTTTCACACGAAGAGCTATCCTGCTGGCAAATCTGGAAACAGGTCACAAGTGATTTGACCAGGTGTCTTCACAGGGGGAGTTCCTGGTTACTACAAGGTGATTCTGATCGGGTTTCTGGAAGTGAGAATGATATAGTGAAGTGTAAAGAAGATAGCTCCTGTTACATTGAAAATGAAGAGTTTTTCAATTTCAGGCATTCTTGTTGGAATATATACCTGAGTGAGTCACAGAATCAGAGCAGAGATAAGCAAATTCATGGGGAAAATAACCTGCATGTCTGTGAAGCCTCCATGAAGAAATCACCACTTAGTGATCATATTAAAATTGACACAGAACAGAAACCCCACAAACCTAATGACTGTGGGAAAAGCGCGAGTGACAGTTTCACTCAGCATTTACCCTGCAGAGAGGAACTCCGTCCGTGTAGTGAGTGTAGAAAGGGCTTCCGTTACAGCTCAGTGCTTTCAAGTCACCAGCGTGTCCGCCCAGGAGGGAAGTGTTCCCGTCAGAACTCCTTTCTGCAGACTTATCAGAGGAATCACCCAGGAGAGGAAACTGCTAAATGTCATGACTCCCGATGTTGCTTCCGTGAGGGCTCTTTCCATTCTCATCCCAATCATGCAGGAGAGAAGGCCCACCAGTGCAACAGCTGTGGCAAGGGATTCAGTAGCAGCACAGGTCTCGCCATTCATTACAGAACTCATACTGGAGAGAAACCTTATAAATGTGAGAAGTGTGGTAAATGCTTTAGTCAGAGTTCAAACTTTCAATGCCATCAGAGAGTGCACAGTGAAGAAAAGCCGTACAAATGTGAAGAGTGTGGTAAGGGCTTCGGTTGGAGTGTTAATCTTCGTGTTCATCAGAGGGTCCACAGGGGTGAGAAACCCTATACATGTGAGGAGTGTGGGAAGGGCTTTACTCAGGCCGCCCATTATCACATCCATCAGAGGGTCCACACTGGGGAGAAACCTTACAAATGTGATATCTGTGGTAAGGGCTTTAGTCACAACTCACCATTAATATGCCATCGGAGGGTTCACACTGGAGAGAAACCATACAAATGTGAGACGTGTGGAAAAGGCTTCACTCGTAATACAGATCTTCATATACATTTCCGAGTTCACACGGGAGAGAAACCCTACAAATGTAAGGAGTGTGGGAAAGGCTTCAGTCAGGCTTCAAACCTTCAAGTTCATCAGAATGTCCACACTGGGGAGAAACGATTCACATGTGAAGTATGTGGGAAGGGCTTCAGTCAGTCTTCAAAGCTTCAGACCCACCAGAGAGTCCACACTGGAGAGAAACCCTACAAATGTGATGTGTGTGGTAAGGACTTCAGTTACAGTTCCAATCTTAAACTGCACCAAGTTATTCACACTGGAGAAAAACCATACAAATGTGAGGAGTGTGGAAAGGGCTTCAGTTGGAGATCAAATCTTCACGCTCATCAGAGAGTCCACTCAGGAGAGAAGCCCTATAAATGTGAGGAGTGTGATAAGAGCTTCAGTCAGGCCATAGACTTCCGGGTTCATCAGAGAGTCCACACTGGAGAGAAACCGTACAGATGTGGTGTGTGTGGTAAGGGCTTTAGTCAGTCCTCTGGTCTTCAGTCCCATCAGAGAGTCCACACAGGGGAGAAGCCATACAAATGTGATGTCTGTGGAAAGGGCTTTAGGTACAGTTCACAGTTTATATACCATCAGAGAGGCCACACTGGAGAAAAACCTTACAAGTGTGAGGAATGTGGGAAAGGCTTTGGTAGGAGCTTGAATCTTCGCCATCATCAGAGGGTTCACACAGGAGAGAAACCCCATAAGTGTGAGGAGTGTGGTAAGGCCTTTAGTCTCCCCTCAAATCTTAGAGTCCATCTGAGCGTTCACATTAGAGAGAAACTGTTTAAATGTGAGGAGTGTGGGAAGGGCTTCAGTCGGAGTTCAGGTCTTCAGGCCCATCAAAGAGTTCACACTGGGGAAAAACCGTACAACTGTAATGAATGTGGTAAGGACTTCAGTCACCGTTCTCGCCTTACATGTCATCAGAAAGTCCACACTGGTAAGAATCTTTAAGAATGAGAAATGCGTTAGTGGCTTCAGTGAAGTCATACAGCTTCTAGTTCTTGGAGTCCATGCTGGTGATAAATACTATGAAGTATTGAGAGTGGAAAGGGGTTTCTTCAGGTAGAATCTATCATCCATGAAAATGATGACCAGAACCAGAGTAACAGGAATAGGATTCATGGTCAAAGGAGAAATATGATGTAACACTCTTGGTAAGATCCAATTGATATAAATGATTTTTCATAGTGAAAACATCCAAAAAAAGAATGTGTAAAAAGGATATTTGCCATATAATACCTAGTTTGGGGGCAGTGGTGTTAGGGAAGGTTTTGGATTATTTTCCCATTAACTTCTATTTTATATGTATTTACAGTGACCATTATTTTTACTAAAGCTGAAAAGCTATGAAAAATGAATGAAATAAAGTAACTAAAAATTTCCTGTACCCAAGAACTCATAATATGATTGCCTTATTTTTTATTGTATATTGGATTAAAATTAAGGAATATATTCCCAGAAGTGAATTTTTGCTCTTCAGAAGTAAATTTTTATCTGCTGCAGATGTATATGACAGAACATGCATTGCATCAGTCATGATAAAAGCAAACATAGAAATCAATTGGATTGCCAAAATATTTTACAATTCATTGATCCAGTGGAACACTATGCAGACATCAAATGAGAGAAGGTAAATTTGTGATTACAGATGTTGAAAGATGTCCACAATGTACTAATATGGAAAACAAAGCATGGGATGTATATGTGATCCCACATTAAACAAAAAGGTAGAGATGGACTAAGTAGGTATTCTAGTTACCTCTAAGTGATGACACTTTGCATTCTTTGTGTTCCGATGAAATTTTAATATGGACACTGAAATTTGAATTTATTATTTATTTGTCAGTTGTCATGAAATATTCTTTTCATTTTTTCCCCAACCCTTTAAAAATGTAGAGACCATTCTTTAGTTCATGGGCCATACTAAACCAGGTGGCAGGCTGCGTTTGATCCATAGTCTGTAGTTTGCCAACTCTTAATCTAGTTAATATTTTTAAAAAAAATTTTTTTCAATTACAGTTGACATTCAATATTATGATTCAGGTGTACAGCATAGTGGTTAGACATTTATATAAATTATGAAGTGATGCCCCCAATAACTGTAGCACCCACCTGGCACCATAGTTATTGCAATATTATTGACTGTATTTCCAATACTGTACTTCACCTCCCTCTGACTTTTGTAACTGCCAATCTGTTCATCTTAATTCCTTCACCTTTTTACCCAGTCCCCAAACCTCACATTTATTTAAACTGTTTTCAAATAACTTAAAACTTTCAAAAAATTATAAAATTATATAAAATCTCTCATATACTCTTTACTCAGAATAAGTAGTTTGTTAATGTGTGTGTGTCATCCTATGTACGTGAATGTGTACATATGTTGATACTTCAGTGTACATACACATTTTTAAAAATATTGATGAGTATGTTAGAGACATCCCTTCTAAACACTTCAGTGTGTGTGTTTTAAGAATGAGGATACTTACACAGCTGTAGTACAAGTTTAACATTCAGGAAAATTTTATATTGACACATAACCTCTAACCTACTACAGACCTTATTCAAATTGTATCAATTGCCCCAATAATATATTTTTCACATTTTTTCTGGCCTAGAATCCAGTCAAGGATTATACATTGCATTTACATGCCTTTAAACTGGATCACTACTTCATCCTTTGCCTTTCATGACCGTGATAGTTTTGATTGTTTCTTTTTTAATGTTTTTTATTTATTGATTTTTAATTTAAAAATTTTAATCCTCACCTAAGGATATGTTTATTGATTTTAGAGGGGAAGTGGAAGAGAGAGGAACACCAGTGTGTTGTGCTAGTTATTTATGCATTATTGCTTGATTCTTGTATGTGTCCTGACTCAGGATTGAGTCCACAACCTTGGCTTATGTGTTCAACATGGTAATCTACTGAGCTACTTAGCCAGGGCTTGAATGTCTCTTAAATTTGAATTTCATTTTTTTCTCATGATTGGATTTAAATTAGGCTCTTTCTTTTTGGCAAAAGTATTCCTTAAGTGATGTATCCTGGGTACATCACATTAGGAAATATGCATGATACATCTGTCCCATTATTGCTTAAATTGGATAATTTGATTAAGGTAGGCATGAGTTGGGCTTTTCCATTGTTAAGTTACTGTTTTTTTCCCCTTTGTACTTAATAATTTATGGGGAGATATTTTCTGGTTCTCTAAATAGCTTGTTTCTCAACAAATTTTTCTTCACTAGTTTTAGCATTCATTGCTGAGTTTGGCTTAATAGATTATTGCTACTGTTTGCAAAAAGGGTGATATACTACCTTCATCATTCTTATTTTTCACAAATTGAAGACTGTCCTAACCCTAGCACAATATGATGCTCCAGATGTATCTCCCACCTTCCTCCTTCCATGGAATTTGCTATTTCTGTGGCATCCCTGGTTCTCATAGTGGAGGATGTAATTTTTATTTATTTTTGTTTATTACTACTTGGGGAATGGAGATGATGATGGTTGGTAGACAGGTAAAAAGAATAAATCATGAGTTCGTACTTTAATCACCAATTCTTTTTTTTATTTTTTAAATGGTTTTATTTATTTGTGGAGAGAGGAAGGCAGGGAGAAAAAGGGGGAGAGAAAGATCCATGTATGAGTTATATATCAATTGGTTACTTTCACACGCCCCCTGCTGGGGACCTGGCCAGAAACCCAAGCACGTGCCCTGAGAATCAAACTAGCAACCTTTTGGTTCACAGGCTGGCACTCAATCCACTGAGCCACACCAGCCAGAGCACCACCAATTCTTTCTTGTGTTCTTCCTAGCCTTCCTCAATTCCATACTGCATCTTAATTCTCCAGGAATTAAAAATTGGACTCCCAATGTAATCCACACATTTGCTCATGAATGTGGTCATGCACCCAGCTAGAACTTGGTGGTCCTGTTGCACAAGGAAGGATACATTTGGACAACTAACACCAGAGGTGATTTTTGAGTGGCATAGTGTCCCCAACATAACTTTCCCTTTTTTCAGGGCATTGACCCTTGAAACCAAATAAAATATCCTACTGCGACCAAAAAGAAAAGTATCTGATAGAAAAACCCAAAGATGGGCATATCCAGATCAGAACATTGTAGTTAACAATTCCTTGCAGACACCAGTACTGCGAATGGGAAGAAGTGGTTCCTTGTGAAGTGCAGGTGGGGAAGGAGTGTGGGCCTGTGCATCCAGCTACTGCCATTGCTCAGCCCCGCAGCTCGTCACCAACTGTGATCCTCTCATTATCCTTTGTACTTTTAGAGGGAGTTTGACACAGCTCTCAGACTATCACACCATTCCTCCACTGCTTCTTGAGAGACCTAAAGCATTTTAGGAGAAACTAATGTCAAAGAGACCAAACTAGAAGATTGATTACAAAGCATTGCAGAGTACTGATTAAAAAGCAGGCTTTGGAGTTTGACTTTTTGTTCACTTCAGCCATTGGCTAGTTGAGTACCTGCAGACAAGGTGCTTAACCTCTCTGTTCCTGAATCTGCTTGTGTGTTCAGTGTGGATGATAACACTGTCTCTTAGTTGTGTTGTGACAGTTGAAGTTATATGCCTGGCATATGGTAAGAGCTGTACAGAGATAGCTATTACTTTCAACATAGATGTAATTATTACTATATATTTATGATAAAATGCTAAGCCAGCTCTGGCTGGTGTGGCTCAGTGGATTGAGTCCTGGCCTGTGAACCAAAAGGTCACCAGTTCAATTCCCAGTCAGAGCACATGCCTGAGTTGCAGGCCAGGTCCCCAGCATCAGCATGGGAGCGCAACCACACTTGATGTTTCTCTTCCTTTATCTCCCTCCCATCCCCTCACTCTAAAAATAAATAAAAAGCCTAAATTAAATAAAATAAAATGCTAAGGCAGACAGAGATCAGCAAACTAGCCTGCTGGCCAAATCTGGATTGTATCCTTTTTTTGTTTTTTGTATGGCCTCAGAACTAAGCTTTCACAGTTTTAAAGAATTATAAGAAAAAAGCAAGTAACAGGACTTCCGGCCCAGATGGAGGCATAGGTGGACACATCGTACCTCCACGCACAACCGAGATTGGAACAACAACAATTTAGAGGCAGAATAACACCCAGAACTGACAAAATTTATCTGACTGGAAGTCAGACGGCCAAGAAATTGAAATAGACCCGTTCATCCAGACCAGTAGGAGGGGTGAAGACGAGGAGCTGGGCGTGACAGCTGGGCACAAGTTGCGGCACAGAGAACAGGGAGAGTTAGGCGCATAAGGCATCCGGGAGTGTGTAAGGCATCTGGGGCACTCAAGATTGCAACAGGTGGACCCTGAGTATGCAAGCGGTAGCTGGCAGACCCAGTGAGGTGGCAATTGTGGAGCAGGGCAGAGTGTGCAACCCAGGATCCCAGGGAAGGGACTGAGGTCCCAGGACAATGGAGCTACCGCCATTGTTCCCTCTGGACCCTGCCCTCACGTACAACCTCACAATCTAGCAACTGGGGTGCCCAGCCCTGGTGAACACCTAAGGCTCCATCCTTCACCATAACAGGAGCGACCAGACCCCCCCCAAAAAAAAGAGAGAGAGAGAGAGAGAGAGATGGCTCAAACAGAAGAACAAATCAGTGCCCCAGAACTCATCCTTTTGAGGGACCAAGAGATAGCTAACCTATCAGATGCACATTTCAAAACACTGGTGATCAGGAAGCTCACAGAATTGGTTGATTTTGGTCACAAATTAGATGAACAAATGCAGGTTACCATAAAAGAAATGAAGGAAAATGCACAGGGAACCAATAGTGATGGGAAGGAAACTGGGACTCAAAACAATAGAGTGGACCAGAAGGAAGAAAGAAACAACCAAACAGGAAAGAATGAAGAAATAAGAATTCAAAAAAACAAGGAGAAGCTTAGGAACCTCCAGGACATCTTTAAATGTTCCAACATCTGAATTATAGGGGTACTAGAAGAGGAAGAGGTAGAGCAACAGATTGAAAACGTATTTGAGCAAATAATAAAGGAGAACTCCCCCATTCTGGCAAAGGAAATAGACTTCCAGAAGTCCATGAAGCTCAGAGAGTCCCAAAGAAGTTGGACCCAAAAAGAAACACACCAAGGCACATCATAATTACATTATCCAAGGTAAAAATGAAGGAGAGAATCCTAGAAGCAGCAAGAGATAAGGGGACAGTAACCTACAAAGGAGTTCCCATCAGACTGTCAGCTGATTTCTCAAAAGAGACCTTACAGGCAAGAAGGGGCTGGAAAGAACTATTCCAAGTCATGAAAGACAAGGACCTATATCCCAGATTACTCTATCCAGCAAAGCTTTCATTTAGAATGGAAGGGCAGATAAAGTGCTTCTCGGATAAGGTCAAGTTAAAGGAGTTCATCATCACCAAGCCCTTATTTTATGCAATGTTAAAGGGACTTATCTAAGAAAAGAAGATTTAAAAAAACATGTATAGTAAAAGGACAGCAAACTCACAATTATTAACAACCACACCTA